CAGCAGGAAGGGACCATTTTCAGCTGATTCTTCCATTACAGAAAGTGTAGTGTTGAACCTTACCCACAGGCAGAGGGGGATTTTAACACAGGAATTGTGTGTCATAGATGAGTGCTCTAACCAAAAAGCACCAGATGAGAGAGTCCGTTCCATTCTTGTGCTGGAAAAGAAAAGCAGGATCTTTTATTTGCTTAGGAAAGAAAAAGGGCTGACACCTGCCTTCTGGTTAAGAATTTGAATTCTGAATCTGAAGCAGAAAGAAACATCTCCCAGTAAGCAGCAGTAAGGGAGCCTTAAAAGCTTATCCCTGGATCTCTTCTCCTGTTTTTTTCCTTCTCATTTAGCTGAGTACTGCAAGTTTTCTCTTAGAAGTTGTGATCGATCTACTTATATGTACATCAATCACTGCTGTTACTAGGAAACCATTGGGTTTTTCCTCTAAAGAATTGTTATAAATAAGCACCATGCCATGAAATAAGATCCTTCTGTGTACTGCCTCTGCTTCCAACATAATTAAGATCAGGAAAAATCTAATTTTGCTGTAATTTGCCAGGTTACATTAAATTATCTTGATGAATCATTCATACCTAATTGCTCTGGACTACGGTTTTGTTGCATTCTGTGATCCTGAGAAGAAATTTAAATAAAGGATGAAGTAGGCTGAATAATACTTACCTTGCCAAGGTCCTGTCCTAGAACAGAAAAAAAATAATACGTTTCCTACGTAAGCCCCAGGAAGAAAAACCTCCTTCCATTCTGCTGGTGTCTTCAGGTCATGAAGTATGTGTTAATCAAATTCATCTTATGCTGCCTTCAGAAGAACTGTAGGGAAGAGTTAGTTTTGTATTCTTGAAAACAGCTGTGGTACCCCTGAGCTGCAAAACTCACAGGCAGCATTCTTCTTCTCTCTTAACTTCATCAGACACAAATATGACACAGAAAATACTACTGCAGTGGGAAGCTTAAAAAGTTGTGGACCTTAAATTTACTGCAAAACCTTTCCCTCTGTCTTTAATGACTGCTGACATAAAGAGTAATTTTATGAGATGCTGCTGTACCTAAGACTCCATAAAGCTGGTCAGTTGTATGAGTATGAAAATAATATTTAGGAGGAATGCAAATTAAAAAATCCATTATCATCTAGAATTTTTAGTGTGGTCTATACTAGGTGATTGCCCCTCTCTCTCTGACTACATATCCTAGCAGTCAGGGAAGAAGTCACCACCATTAACCCCTTTGGTTACAGAATGGCTAAAATCAGCCCTGTTGTGAGATTTAACAGTTGCACATTTCCATTTAAAGAACAGGAAGGGATGTGCTAGCAATCAAGGCATTCATCCAGGAAACAGAAGACCTGAATTTAATTTCCTTTTTAAGCTTTAACAGGGTCAAATTCATCTTCTATATTTTAAGAGACTGCCTTAATACCTTACATAGAAATTAGTTTAGTAGGGGTACTTTTCATCACTGTATTAAAGCTGCATTATTCTACAGAAGTTAATTCAAAATTAATTACATGAGAGACAGCACATGATACAAATAGGCCTGAGTTTAGGGAACTCCCTTGGTTGGCAAGTATCTTTACTCTTGCTCATTGTTAAAGGAACTACTTTACGATTTAGATTTTTTGATAAAATATATAAAGACAGTGGAGAAAAAATGGTACTTGACATTTTATTTATCTTTTTTGATAAGAAAGAGAAACATTTTACCTAGCAGATCACATGGGTGTATTAGTAGTTCCCTATTGCCATTAAAATGTGTATGATTCTAGCTTCAGGGTAAGAAGAAGACAAGACCTTGCATCCTAAGAAGAAAAAATGCCCAATTTGGAACACAAAAATAAAACCTACAATCATGAAGCTTTCTATGTTTAGGTTTCCATTAAATTAAAGAAAAACCTAACCATAGTTGTGAAGCAAATCTCAGAAGTTAAAATGTATGAACGCTTCACTTATTGTTATGGTTAAGAGCTGGTCAAAGCAATAAAACTTTTAAGACTATTCTCAAACAATGTATTATCAGTACTTTTGCTTTAGAGTTGAGGCCTCACAGCTACCATACATTTTAATTCAGTTTGATGAAAAAGCTTGTAGAAGCAGAAAACATTTAAACCTGGCATCTTGGTCAGGTTTTAATAGCCAATGTCAATTTAACCCAGTGAATGAAGAGTAGAAATACATATATAAAATTAATCTTACTTGGTTGTGCTATGAAAGGGATTTTTATGGCCATCAACGTGCCACTGGGAATTCTGTCTCTAATTTTATTGTCTCCAGTGGCACAGAGATGTAGCTTTTATTCTCTTTTTCATCTAGGGTTTTGTGGGGTTTATTTCGTCTCAGTATTGCTCTGGAAGATTCATCTCCAGGGAGATCATGGTTTGTTTTTTTTCATTAAGCAGTCAGTAATGTGATATAGCCAAATCTTTCCAAATACAAATTTGGACAAAGTTTTGCTGAAGCTGGTGAACATCATTTTTGGTTCCAGCACTACTGGGGCAGTCCAGAAAGCTGCTAGCTGCTTTGAAACATTCCAGCATGAGGCAAGTTATTCAGTGCTTGAGTCTCTACTCTGCTACAGATATTCCTTAGTATCTCTGTTGAAGAAAAATATTATTTTGCATTCCTACATATAATACAAGTATTAAAGATGTTTTTTAAAGCAATATCTAAAAACACTTTAAATTCAAGCTTCAATATACATTTCCAAGAAATGGAGGATATATGTTGCATGAAGATATGCACTTTGGAAATTAACTTTTTGTTACTAATTAAATCTCAGTTTCAAAAGGGAATTTTGAGGTAGGAAATCATCAGGCTACAGAATCAAGTCATAGGCTTCATCTCCTGAGTTTGGTCATCGGCTTTTTAATGGCTTTTGACACATGGTTTCCCATCTCACGGGCAGCGAGTGAACAAGGCATAGTTATGTGAGGCTCACAAGCCCACCTGAGAAAATCACTTGCATGTCCTCTTCCCAACCAGTATTCTGTCATGTGTACCTTTTGAAATGGCAATAACAACTCCTCTATGCTTACATGACAACCTGGCATGCTATTCAAAAGACAGTAAGTACCTGAAGAGGCATTTGTGTGACAAATCCCTTTGAAACCACTGGCTTCCACCACTCAAGTGGTGCTTCAGACAGCAAAGAGCTAGTGCTTCATGGGCTTTAACTAACAAACATAACTGAGTCCCTGTCCGTGGAGAAAGGCTTCATGTCAATGAAAATGGAACTGAATCCCAGTGACATCACTTGTGTCCCCGTCTCCTCCCGCAGGTCACAGCCTCGGCTCGGCGAAGGTGTCCCGGGCGCAGACGTTCCCCAGCTACCCCTCGGAGCAGGGTGAGGAGCACCCGCAGCCCCTCTCGCTGGCCAGCAGCTACACCTTCAGCTACGGCTCGGGCCTGGTGCAATGACAGCCGGGGGCGGCCGGCCGAGGGAGACAG